ACTCCACGTGCATCGTGCTCACCTGAGCTGGAAACCTGTGCTTCGTCCCTGAGTCCAACGGACCATCCTAAATATTCCTACGAGCAGGGCGTTCTCCTGCCCGGGCCCTGTGCTGCCTGCTGGGGCCCCGCCACCGGTGGCCAGCCCAACCCAGCGCTGTCCACCTGCAGCCAGGGACCCCTCCAGGCGCAAACCTGCAATTTTCCTGCCAATACCCCTTCCCGGGATACAAGTCAAGCTGTGCCCAGCATTCAGGGCAGACCCTTCCAGGGGGCCCTGCTGGGTGGAACACGAGGGCCAGCGCTGGGCCACAGACAGCCCCTCCACGCAGGCTGTCCCAATCTGGGGGCCGCAGGTCCAAGCCCTGGGCTGTCCCCTGCCTTGGAGGCCACCAGACTGTAGTGACCAGGCAGCCATTCCTGGCCTGCGGGAAAGGCCTGTTTAGCATTAGCTCACCGGGCACTTATTGAGCGCCCACTGTTTGCAACCAAGTGGGGATTCAGAGATGAAGCTGCCCACCCTGCCCCCAGGAGCACACGTGTAGTGGGTGAGGCACAAGGAAGATGGGAAGAGGAAGAGGTGGGCACACACAGGAGGCACCAGGCCCTCCTGGGAGCTCAGGGAGGGCTGCCCAGCAGAGGGCACTCAGAGCCTCTCTTCCGGGCCTGTTGCCATGATGCTTCAGTGCCCAGAGCAAGACTGGCACACGGAGGCGGGGAGGGGGGCGGTCTACTCGATGCAGCCAAGTCCACACAAAGTCCACGGGAGAAGTGAGAGACCGGCGTGGCCCCAAGGGGGCGCGCTTCCCGTCACAGTGAGGAAACTGAGGCAGGGGAAGGCCAAGTCACTGCCCAAGGCCATCCTCCAATTGGCAGGATAGGATGCGCTCCAGGTCTGTCTGTCAGTCTGTCTACCAAGGTGGCACAGACAGCCTGGGGGCGTGGCCACACCCACATTGGCACCCCGCAGGCGGGGCCCGTTTCCTCTGGGACAGCCGGCATCGCCCCTCCCCACCCCACTCCCTCCAGGAAAGTGCAAGGGCGCCACCTGGTGGCCGCGGCTCCTTCCAGCA